GAACCGCTCATTTGGCCATGTGGGGTCCAGCTGCCTTACCCTCCGTCCACCAGCGGGCCCTCCTCTCACTCTTTAGGTGAGCCGCGGATGGACGGGTGAGGTGAGGGCAGCCCCAGCCTTGCGTACCTGGTGCCGTAGTCGGGGCAGCGCACGCACACGGCTGCATACTTGCTCAACATGGGCTGCACATACTCCCGGCCCTGGTCCTCGATGGCCGGGTCCGGCAACTGTCTGGAAGCATAGAAGAGGAGTGGCCATCAGTGCCCCTGCGGTCACCCTGCAGCCCCGGGTAGCCAGGTGGCCTTGCCTCTCGTCCTCACGGTCCCCAGGAGCCCACTGGTCCCAGAAGGTGGCGGGAAAAACCACGGGAAGTATTGGTCCACTTTTCTGCTCATGGCCTCATCTCTTTGCCCACTTTGCACTTCCGACTCTGTGACTGAGCCTGGGCCCTATGGCATACCTGCTGCCCCAAGGGGTGCCCTGTAGGCATGTGTTCTTGATAGGAGTCCGCCCATACCATGTGACCAGGCAGCTGCCATCCCCAGCACTAGGCTGTAGGCATCAGCAAAGCAGCCAGGGCTTGTCGCGGGACTGCCCAGGGTGACAGGGACCCAGGGCTGGACTAAGAGCTGAGCTGGGGCTGCCAGGAGGCCCACGGAGGGCTTCCCCAAGGGAGTGTCAAGGCCAAGGCTGAAGGACAATGTCCTATCCCAGTAAGGGTGAGGGTGCAGGTCGTGCGGGCTCCTCTGGGAGGCTATGGGGTAAGCGTGCTGGCCCAGGTGGGAGTAGATGCTGGGCTGTCTGGGCAGGATGGCAGCCAGGGTAGGGTGGGGCTGCCTGTGGGATGCAGGCCAGTTTGGTGAGCACCAGGACCTTGGCTGGGACAACTGGGACCCAGCTGCCCCATGCAGAGGCCTGTGGGGAGGAAGCTGTGGGTGCTCCACTCCCCAGGCAGGTCCTGGGACAGGCATGTCTCAGTCCCATGGTCCCTGAGCATAGACATGCTCCAACCCTGGCTGCTGGCGTCTGCGGTGTGCTGAGCACCTGGAACCTTCCAGAATCTCCCACCAGCCCTCCATGTGCAGAGAAGACCCTGGGAGCCTGTGGTCGCTTGTACGTGACCATAGCCACAGGGTTGGAGCTCTGGGAGCACCAGGTCTCCTAACACTCAGGTCCAGGCTGCCCCACCTCTCCTCATCAAAGGCCCCTGTCGGGAACCCCAACCTGATGTGGCAGGTAGGGTGGGGTGTGGGCAGGGGCCCCGACAGCCCCCTCTGCAGCTGAGGAGCCGGCCTTGGTCTGCTCCGGGGCCTGCCAGGGTAGCAGAGTCCATCTGCCTCTCGCCCCAGCGGGACCTGCCCACTCACGCCTCCTCGTTGTTGAGCACGTCCAGGAGCTGCGCGACGAGGGCATCCTTGGGGAGTGCCTGGCTCCGCTCCACGGCTTCCAGGAACAGCCGCTTCCCGAAGCACAGCTTCCTCCAGGGTGTCTCTAGCAGAGCATTGCTTAGCCCGTAGGTCCCTGTGGGGAAGGGTCAGCCTGGGTTCAGACTCATGCAGAAGCTCTACTGCGAGGTTTCAAGCTAAACTTCCCCAGGCATGGGGTAACAGGTGTACAGCTGGGGATGGTGAAACCAGACCAGACGAAGGCCGAGCTCCTCACGATCACCTATGCTCCAGAACCTTCTCCATACAGACTCCTGACCCATCTGCACAGACAAGGGGGAGATAAAAGCTCAACACAGGGCAAGGGACCCACAGGAGACCTGGAGACAGAGATGGCAGGTGGCCTGGTGAGCAGATTAATAAGGAATAAGTAGGGCCTAAATGGTGGTGTGGCAATAAAACATGATGTGCCATGAGGCTGACCCACCTGGAAAAGTTCCCAGTTCAAGCCTTGAGACCTTCCTGAGTTTACTGGGTATGTGTGTGCCCATGATTGGGGGTTGGCTGGGGCTTGGGAATGGGGGACACTTTCTGTCTGTTTCTCTCTTGCTTATGGAGGAAGTAGATACTTTTTTTTTTTGAAGGGAATAAATGAGGAAAGGAAAGGAGGTACTCAAGATGGAGCCAGATCCCTACCTCACACCATCTCTCTATGCTAGGGCTCAAGTCACCTGATAAGAAGAATCAGCAACCTGAAGCCAGAAGGGCACCTGCCATGACTTATCCTGACTCACAGCCGTGGTTAGTGGACCCCCTCAATATCTGAGCTTCAACAGAGCATGGCCTCCCTCCACACATCCACCAAGATCTTGACTGGGAAATCGGGGGTCTAGTGCAAGTGTTGAGAACCCTTCGGTTTCTCAGAATAAGTTCCAGAGTGGTGACAGAGGCAATGGCTAAGGCAAAAAGGGCTTCTTGTATTCTAAGAGAAGGGCAGGGGCCTAAGTTGGAGAGGCCACTCAAAGCCTCCTGTCTGGAGACCAGGGCAGTAGGGACAGACAGATGTGCTTGGCATCCTCTGCCTGCCAGACTTTCAGGTGAGGATCTCAGTTGGGGGAAGCTTCATGATCTTAAGTTAGACAATGAACTCTTAGATAATACATCAAAAACACAAGCAAGAAAAGAAAAATAACAGCTAAATGGGACTTCACTAAAGTTTAAAGCTGCAAAAGACAGCAACAAGAAACTGAAAACAAACCCTACAGAATGGGACACAATTTTTGTTTTGTTTTGTTTTTTTTTTTTGGAGAGGTTTTCGCTATAGGGAGCGTGCACTCGCCAGACAGACAGAGAGAGACATAGAGACAGAAAGCAAGAAATCATCCCCAGGGTGGATGGTCACACCGCAGTCCCTTCTCCTCCATTTTCCTCTCAGGATCTTGGGCACGCACGCACACGCGCCTGGCGTGAGTTTAAGCCACCGGGTCTGAGACGCGAACCGCGGTCGACTATGTAGGAGTCCAGGGACATAGCCATTACGCTAACTGCTGGTTCCCAACAATTTTTGTGAGTCATATATCTGATAACAGACTTGTAACTAAAATATTTAAAGAACTCCTACATGGCTATTCCTGTGGTTAAGGGAATGGGATCTCACGTGATCAACTACGGATCAAATCACAGCCCTGGCAGCTTGAAAAACGCCCATTGTGTGTGTGTGCTCAAACTCCCGACAAGATGGGGAAGCAGAGGAGGAAGGATTGCGATGTGACCATGGCCCATTGGGAGGTGCCCTTTCTCTCTCACGATCTCTCTGTCTGTTTCCCTCTGGCAATTAAAATAAAAATTTAATAATAAAAAAAGGGAGGGCCCAGCAGGTGACATGGTGGTTAAAGGCGCTGGAATCCCACATGGCTGCCTGTGGTTTGAGTCCCAGACCTGGCGGATTACTTTCTCACTTTCTTTGTCTCTCTGGTCCAACTGAAAAAAATATAGCAATAAGTAAAATGAAATAAAATAACTCTTTAAAATAATAATAAGAAGAAGAACTTTTACATTTCAAAAACACAACACAATCTAAAAATGAGCAAAGGATCTGAATAAACATTTCTCCTAAGAAGATAAACAAAGGTCCAGCAAGAACATAAGAAAGATATTCAATATAATTAGTCACCGGGGAAATGCAAATCGGAACCACAGTAAAATACAGTTCGCACCCACTAGGAGGGCTGTAACCAAAACGGCAATAACCAATAACGGGTTAGATGGTGGCCCATGGGAATCACTGCTCTGAGAGGCTGACCCTCCTGGGAAGCTTCCGACTTTGCATCTGGAGACCAACCAACCTCACTCGCTCTTGGAATAAATAAATAGGCTTAAAAAATAGATAATAACAAGTGTTAGTGAGGATTCAGAAAAATCTGAGAGGCCAACAAGTGGCATGGTGGTTAAGGTGCTGGGTTACCACGTGGCTCACCATGGTTCGAATCCAGGACCCGGGAGTTTGAAAATCATGCTGAACGCACGTGTGTGTGTGTGTGTGTGTGTGTGTGTGTGTGTGCCCAAATGCTAAAAGGAGAAAGGAATGAGGTGTGGCTATCCCCTGGGCAGTGATTTCTCACTTTCCCTCTCTCTGTCTCACTCCAGGGAGCCTGCATGCCCTATGGGGGAAAAAAAAACTAAAAAGAAAATTGAACCCTTACGCAGTGCTCTTAGGAATGTAAAATAGTAAAATGTAGGTGATTTGGCAACCAGTTTGGATATTCTTCAAAAAGTTAAACAGGGACCAGCAGTTAGTGTAATGGCTACGTGGCTGGGCTCTCATGTAGTTGACTGCGGTTCGAGTCCCAGATCCGGTAGCTTAAACTCACGCCGGGTGCATGTGCGTGTGTGCCCCAGATCCCGAGAGGAGAATGGAGGAGAAGGGTTTGCGGCGTGGCCATCCCCTCTGGGGGGTGATTTCTCCCTTTCTGTCTTTCTGTCTCTCTTTGTCTCTGGCGAGCGCACGTGCCCTATAGCAAAAACCTCTCCCCCCCCAAAAAAAAAATAAAAAAGATTATTGTGGGGCCAGCCAGTGGCATGGTGGTTAAGGTGTTGGACTCTCACATGGCTGAGAGCAATTCAAGTACCAGACCTGGGGACTTGCTTTTACATTTTCTCTCTCTCTCTCATCAATTTAATGAGTAATTATAAAGAAAATGAAATAAAAATAATTCTTTTTAAAATTTATTTAATTTGACTTGTTATCATCATTTTTTAATTTAATGATAGGGGGAAGAGAGAGAGTAAGTGAGACAGCAAGCCACCAGATCCAAGACTCAAAACCATGGTCAGCCATGTGGGAGTCTAGCACCTTAACCACCATGCCACCTGTTGGCCCCAGAATTAAATAAAAACAATTCTTAAAAACCCAGAATTATTGTATGATTATTCAGCAAGATTATTCGGAAGTATATACACAAGAACTATCAAAACATGTCCACACAAAAACCTGCAACGAATGTTTATAGCAGCATCAGTCATAACCTTCAAAAGGTGGAGACAACCCACTGTCCACCAGTGGACAGACGGAGAAACAAAATGTATATCCACGTGGTATTACTCAGCCACAAGGAGAAACAAAGTACCGGTGTAGGCTGCAACATGGGGAACACTGAAAACAGTGAGCTCGGGACCAGCAGATGGCATAGTGGTTCCGTCACTGGACTCCCATGCAGTTGACCACAGATGCGCCCTATAGCAAAAACCTCTCAAAAAAAAAAAAAAAAAAAAAGAGACTTTCAGGGGCTGGCAGGTGGTGTGGTGGTTAAGGTGCCGAACTCCTACATGGTTGACTTCAAGTCCCAGACCTGGTGGCTTCCTTTCTCACTTTCTTTCTCTCTCTCTGTTCAAATAAATTAAGTAAATAAATAAAGCTAAATAAAATTTTTAAATTTTTAAAATTGATTTTTGTTATAGGGCACGTGTGCTCGCCAGAAATACAGAGAGACAGGGAGACAGAAAGCGAGAAATCACCCCCCAGGGGGGATGACCACGCCGCAATCCCTTCTCCTTAATTCTCCTTTCAAGATCTTGGGCATGGGGAACCAGCAGTTAGCATAATGGCTATGTCGCTAGACTCCCACAAAGTTGACTGCGGTTCGTGTCCCGGACCCAGTGGCTTAGAACTCACGCTGGGTGCGTGTGCATGCGTGCCCAAGATCCCGAGAGGAGAATGGAGGAGAAGGGACTGCGGCGTGACCATCCCCCCTGGGGGGGTGATTTCTCGCAAGGGAGTCCAGCAACATAGCCATTACTCCAATTGCTGGTCCCAAGCTAAATAAAAATTAAAAAAAATTTTTTTTTTTTTGAAAAAAGAAACTTTCTCCAAAACAATGAATTAGCAGGAAATAAGCATCTCCAGTCGCAGGGGCTTGGGCACTGAGAACTGAGGGCACCTGGGGTGGCTTCCGGCTGCTTCCTCAGGGCCTCTGGGCCAATGTTCAGCCTTGGGGATGTCCCGATGATATGGGGGCTGTCAGGCTGACTACGGGCATGGATGCGCCTCGCCACACACCCCGGCCCCGAGGTGTGCACACTGGGAAGAAGCCGAAGCAAGCAGAAGAGTAAGAACCAGTGGGGACGGGACAGGAAGCCCTTCCCAAGCTCAGGGCCATCTGGGGTCATCCGCCTTTGTCTCTGTTCCTGGCTCTTGGCAGCTTGGCTGGGTCTGTTCAGGGTCCCCACCGCAGTAGGGCCAGGGGTCACGGGGCGGCAGGGGCCCTGCTATCCCTGGTGGCTGGCAGGAGGAGCCCCACATGGAGGACAGGGTGACAGCTGGCAGAGCGCAGGGAGAGAGGACGAGACACACTGAAATCCACCCTCCAGGTGTGAGAGAGAGAGAGAGAGAGACAGACAGACAGACACCGGGGAACTGCCTCCTCCGAGGATCCCGACGGCCCCAGGGCATCCTGGCCTGGACATACTTTCAGCAAAGGGGGCGCTCTGGAGCCGCTGGGCCCACGTGTTGCTAAAATGTCACTGATCAGAGGTAGGAAGCTGGTGGTCAGCCTGGAGGTGAGCTACGCAGGGTCCTCAGGATCCACGACAAGGCCTGCAGTTCTTCCAGTCCCCCTCAACACAGTGGCATGGGGTCACTCAGCTGTCCTGGGGGCTGCTCGCCACCTCCCTCTGGCCCCCTGGGCACTCGGGGAAGGTGTGCCCTGTGTCCTGCAACCCACTGGGTGCCTGGTGCCAAGCACAGAGAGATTCCCGTACCTCGGGGACACAGGGAGGACACTGCAGAGGAGCGCCACCCCACAGAGAAGGGGTATGGATGACGCAGAGGAGGCCGACTCCCCCTGGGGGTTGGAACGCCCTGTGTGAGACCAGGGCGGACACCTGAGAGCCACCAGTGAGGAGCAGCGGGGCAGTGGGCACGGGGGACGGGAGCAGGTCGGGGCCCTGGCTCTGTCCCATGCACCGGGTGTGCCCAGATGACAATGTTAGTGCCATTTCCTGGGAGTGCCCACTCTGTCTTGCCAATGGCCTTGGGATCAGTGTAGACCCCCACCTCTAGAAGGGCTTACAGGGGGTGGGGACAGTGACGTGACACTCTGCCCAGACTGGGGGCAGAGGGCTGGCAGAAGAAGCTTCCGGAAAAGGCAACGCCCGAGGGGAGAGGGGCGGGAGGGCACACCAGCAGACGGTACGTCTGGCAAAGGTGCGGCATGAGGGCAGGGGAGGGCCCGGTCAGCAGCACGGTGTGGACCCCAGGGTGGGCGGACAGAGGGTGAGGACACAGGCCAGGGAACCACTGGGGTAGGCCAGGAGGCGTTTTTGTGCAGGGCTGCAGAATGACATGTTAGAGGTCAGAACAGTGAGGTGGCCAGAACCCCAGACGGTGACAGCCAGGAGACTCCAAGAAGGGACAGACAGGACACGGGCACACAGGGGTGGCACAAGGTGATGCAGGGAGACGGCACAAGGTGATGCAGGGAGAGATGGGGCTGCGAGGTGGGGCTGGGGGCTCCCCCTGGAACTAAGGGTTAAGGCAGGGCGCCCAGAGCAGGCACGGTCTTCCTCACGGTCAGGGCCGCGGGAGGGTGCGAGGGTCTCAGAGCCCTGGGCCCGATAGACAGCAACATGCACGACGCCCCAAACGTACATGATGGGCCCGGCCTCTGCAAAGCACAGAGGGTCCCCCGCATGGGAGCACCCCCCAACTCGGGCTGCCAGGACAGGCTCACCTGGCGTCAGGACGACGGGCTCGGGCTCCCCCCGGTTTCCATAGTAGCAGACCACATCTCCCTTTGCTGTGCTGCGGGTGGAGGGGAGACAAGGTCAGCCGGAGCCACGCGTGCCCGGGCACAGGTGCCGCGTAGCCAACTCACGGTCTGGTCCCCAGTGGCCGGCACAATGACAAAGGCCGCTGCAGCCAGGCCGGGGGCTAATCAGGGTCCCGGCAGTGCTGCTGAGACCTCAGCTCCTGTCCAGCATCTCCGGTACATTCCTGGCTCCTGCAAGGACCAGCCTGGCGGGCAGCAACATCTCCATGGCATGGGCCCTTGGAGACCGCAGGAGGCGACTACTGAGGGGCTGGCCCACCCCAGCAGCATGGGCCCCTCTGTTGGAGGCTTCCGAGCAAGGCGCTAAAGACCACGTTTTCCTGTCCATGAGCTGAGTGTGCATTTTTAAACGGTTCCCAGGCGGCAAAGCCTTTCCGCCAGAACTCAGAGCACCCTTTCTGCAAACCAGCAGGGGATCCCCTGGGGGATCCCGGGGGATCAGCCCTGCACCTGCTACCACCTGACCCTCAGAACACCCAGCCGCTGCCCTGTTGGGCTGTACTGAGGGAGGCGGGTCAACCCAGCAGTCCCTGGGAGCCAGGAGAGACAGTGGCCGCCCTGGGCTGAGCGTTCCCCGACTTCTGGGCTGTAGGAAGGAGAACAGGGTTCGGGGCAGGAGGGAAGGATGCGAGCTTCCCTGAAGGGCGAACCCCACAAAACCTCTGCACTTTCCGTGGCCGTATCTCCAACGTGGAGGACAGCCGGCCCCTCCTGGCGAGGACCGCTAAGGGTTACTGCTGCCTGTGGGAGGGGTGGACACAGCCAGGGTGACCCCCACATGGCTGCCCTTCGCAGCCCTGGTTCTTTCAAGGCAGGGAGCCAGCAGCTCTCACACCATCCCAGGAAGCTCCTTGGCTCCATCTCCTCCCAAGTCTCTGAGTTAGGGATTCCGGGACAGTCCCCAAGACCAAATGCTACTCCTGGGGAGGCTGCTATGGACACCACAGCCCCCCCTAAGCTGTCTGGCAGGACAGAACTCTGCTTCCTATGCCCCCAGGCAGTGCTGGCCACAGCCACCGTCCCCCGTCTGCAGACTCACCTCAGGTCAGCTGCTATGAGGTTGAAGCCATTGTACAGGTGGCCCTCCGTGGAGACCTTCTTCAAATAGGACAAGCTGTCCATGTCGGTGGTCAGAAAATGTGTCACGAGCTCACCTGTGGGCAGGGGACAGACACCCGTGGCAGAGGCGGCAGGGTTGAGATGCCTCTCCATGGGAAGACTGAAGTGGGGCCCCTTGGAAAGACTCAGGAAGATGAGGGGTCCCAGCGGAGCCCCAGCGCCTAGCTGGACACTGCCGAATGTAGCCATGACTCATCAGCCAGGCCACCAGGGCAATCAGCATCGAAAAGTCTGGGTTTGCATTTTGGCTTAAAAAAAATTTTCCCCTTGGGGACTAGCAGATGGCGTAATGGTTACATCGCAGGACTCCTGCAGAGTGGACCATGGTTCAAGTCCCAGATCTGGTGGTTTAAAACTCATGGTGGGCACGGTTTGAGTCCCGGACCTGGTGGCTTGAACTCATGCCGGGTGCATGTGCGTGCATGCCCAGGATCTTTCTGGCAAGCGCATATGCCCTACAGCAAAAACCTCTCCAAAAAAAAAAAATCACGTGGGCACATGTGTGTGTGTGTGTGTCCGTGGGCACATGTGTGTGTGTGTGTGTCCAAGGTCCCAAGAGGAGAATGGAGGAGAAGGGGTTGCCACGTGGCCATCCCCCCTGGGGAGAGATTTCTCACTTTCAGTCTGTCTCTTTCTGTCTCTCCAGCAAGTGCATGCATCCTACAGCAAAAATCCCTTGAAAAAAAGTTTTCTCTTCTGCTATGTGTAGGATACGTTACCCCAAAATTCATGTCTTTTTAAAAATTTTTTAACAGAGAGGTTATTGCTATAGGGCATGTGCGCTTGCTAGAGAGACAGAGAAATACAGAAAGCAAGAAACACCCCCTCCCCCACCCTCGGGGGAATGACCACACCATAATCCCTTCTCTTCCAGCCTCCTCTTGGGATTTTGGGCACACACGCACATGCGCCCTGCGTGAGTTTTGAGCCGTTGGTTCCGGGACTCGAACTGGACTACGTGGGAGTCCAGATAATGATAACAAATAGAAGTAAATAAATAAATAAATATTTTAAAAAATTAATCCATCTGTGGAATTAAGGGGTGAGGACTGTGTGAGGCGGTCAGGATTGGATGACGTCATGGGGGTGAGCCCCCATGACTGAGTCCTGGCGGGTTATAGGGAGAGGGAGAAACCGGAAGGACACACACCAACTCCCACCATGGGATGCTCAGGAAGTGGCAGCGTCCTCACTGACAAGAAAACCCTCACCAGGTGCAGACACTTAACCTCAGACCTCCCAAACCACGAGCTGCAGAAGCCTCTATAGGAGTCACGCAGTGTGGTACTGCTGTCAACAACACCAAAAGGACAGAAACCCCCCACCCTGCCTCTACGGGGAAACCCAGCATGCAGGAAAACCACCTGCAGCGGGGACAGCGTGTGTCTCTGGGGCTGTCCTCTCCAGGAAGGCACTTGCTAACATTTGGCAGGTGAATAAGGACACAGAGATCACAAGTGACACCTTGCAGGGACTGTGGGGTGGAGTGAGCTCTCAGAGGAGCGAGTCTCATCTAGGGATGCAGAGTGGGCCAGGCCCACGGTGATGTGACAAGACGGGGTGCATCTCTCTCCTGTCTCTGCCACACGCCCTTGCAGCAGACCAAGGTGGTATGGGTGGCAAGCTGGAAGAAGGCAGGGCAGCGCGCTGCCACTCGCGCCCAAGCCACACCCCATTCTGACCCCGCCCCACCGCAGCCGCGGACCCTTGGCCCCGCCCCACTTCATCTCGGCCCCGCCCACCCCACCGCATAGCGGCCCACCTAGCCCGGGGGACACGCCCCGCTGTCCCTCAGCCACGCCCCCGACACGCCTCCGACCACACCTCGGGCCGCCCACCACGCCATACCTCGGCCTCGCGCCTCGAGGTCCAGACGCGGCTGCAGGTAGTTGGTGAGCGCCGCCAGCTTACCCCTGGTGGTGATGCCCAGCCACGTGCCTCCTTCTCGGCCTTCCTCCATGTCGAGCCCTGCGGCGGACGGCAGTTATCGCCGGCTGCACCTGCCCTGGGGGGTGCCAGCCTGCTCTGGCCCCTACCTGCGCCTGTCCCCTAGGAGACGAACGCCAGAACCCACAATTGGCCCAGAGGGCCTGGCTATGGGTCAGGTCCTGAAACCACGCGTGGCAAGGAGCCCTGGTGGCTCACGTGGCGGCAAGTGACACTGCCCGCAGGACAAGGGCACTGCTCAGGCCCATCCATGCAAACGCAGAGCGGAGGTGGCCGAAACTTCATCCTAGGGGCTGGGGAAACAGCGCTAGGCTCCAACCCCGTGTCCTGGATGCTCTGCAAAGATTCTGGTCGTCGGGCCAGCAGGCAGCATAGTTTTAAAGGTCCTGGACTCCTACATGGCCACCACGGTTTGAGTCCTGGACCTGGCGGCTTGAAACACGTGTGTGTGTCCAAAATCCCAAGAGGAGAATGGAGGAGAAGGGACCATTCTGTGGCCATCCTCCTGAGAGGTGACTTCTTGCTTTCTGTCTAACCCTCAAGCGCCTGAGCCCTATAGCAAAAATCTCTTTAAAAAAAGACGCTGGTTGTCCCCACTCAGCAGTAGAAGGGGTCCAGCGTGCACCCAGGCCCAGGTCAGGCCACCTTAACAATCAGGCTGCCAGCCCTACAGGAGGTTAGAGAGGCCCTTAGAATCCCAGCAGGTACCTTTCTAGACTAGAGGATGATTTTACCCACGGAGCAGGAAAAATGGCTGTCGTTAACTTGCTATTTTTATAATAATCACTTATAACAGGAAAAAAGATGTAGAGATCAAACAGAATTAGTGAAACTGTACTTACTGCTTCCTTTTGTGGATGGCAGGATCATATATGAAAAGAATTGAGAAACAAAACCATAAAACGATCTACTAAAATTAGTAAAAGCGGGGACACAAGTGGCATGGTGGTTCAGGGTGCAGGACTCCCACATGGCTGACCACAGTTCAAGTCCTAGACCTGGAAGCTTGCTTTCTCACTCCCCCTCCCCTGTCCTTCTCTGTCCAAATTAAGATAAGTAAATAAAGTTAAATAAAATGATTCTTTAAGAGATTAGTAAGCGCTAGCAAAAACTGGAAAATGAACATTTCGATATACCATTTATAATAGCATTAGAAAATACTATGCCTGGTGTCTATGGACTGTCTTAAAACCCACTGTTTCATGCATTTTGTTTATTTTTAGTGATTCTATATGACAGGGTAAATCTGGTCCCTACTGGTTGGGCTGTTACGGAAATTTGCTATTATTTTTTAAAGGTTTTTTTTTTTGCTTTTTTATTTTTTGGAGAGGTTTTTACTATAGGGCACGTGTGCTCACCAGACAGAGAGAGAGACAGAGAGACAGAAAGCGAGAAATCACCCCCCAGGGGGGATGG